CAGAGGTTCTCTGCAAGCCATCTGGCTATCATGAGAGATTCGTTCATGAGGCGATCCACATATACAAACACAGAGACAATTTTAACCGAGAAGATGGATTCTGGCTTAGCAATCATTGGAAGGACGTAATAAACCATTTCGGATCTTAACTGATTGTGTTCACGTTTACGGTGACTTTCAGACCGCGTTCCACCCACTGGCATGGTGCAGTGTGCAGATTAATGTATGGTGTCGTAATTGTATAGTAAATATATAGCAGTGTGATACACATTAAGGTGGGTAGAATAATACATAGTGTTATATTAAAAATGGATAAGGCAGCAACTGCAGCAGCAGCAGCAACTGCAGCAGCAGCAGTAACTACAGCAGCAGTAGCAGCAACTGCAGCAGCAGCAGCAACTGCAGCAGCAGCAACTGCAGCAGCAGCAGCAACTGCAGCAGCAGCAGCAACTGCAGCAGCAGCAGCAACTGCAGCAGCAGCAGCAACTGCAGCAGCAGCAACTGCAGCAGCAGCAGCAACTGCAGCAGCAGCAGCAACTGTAGCTCCCTTTGATGCTGTTAATCCTGCATAATGCACATGCATATGCAGTACTAATCACATTCCTGCATTTCCCATGAATATGCTAAATTCATCTTGATATGCAAATTCCTTTGTCAATGCGCCCAGCTTATATATATATGCTCCAAGCTCGTGTGCTGCTTCATTCAGACTCTGTCGCCTCGACGGACCTGGTTTTCACCTGAGGACGGCTGCTTGCGTTGTGGCCGAAACGTCGTGAGAATTATTTTATTATGTTTTATTTTTATTATTTTATTACTTCCCTTCTACGTGACTTTACCGAAAGAACCAAGAAGATGAATCCCTGCAGTCACGAAAGCTTTAAATCGAAATTCATTCCAGCCTTGTGTAGGTCTACAATCTTGTCCCTGACATCCTTGGAGAGCTCTTTGGTCTTGGCCATGGTGGAGTGTTTGGAATCTGATTGATTGATTGCTTCTGTGAACAGGTGCCTTTTATACAGGTAACGAGCTGAGATTAGGAGCACACTCATAAAGGGAGTGCTCCTAATCTCAGCTTGTTACCTGTATAAAAGACACCTGGGAGCCAGAAATCTTTCTGATTGAGAGGGGGTCAAATACGTTTTTCACTCATTAAAATGCAAATAAATTTATAACATTTTTGACATGCGTTTTTCTGGATTTTTGTTGTTATGTTGTCTCTCACTGTTCAAATAAACCTACCATTAAAATTATAGATTGATAATTTCTTTGTCAGTGGGCAAACGTACAAAATCAGCAGGGGATCAAATACTTGTTCCCCTCACTGTATATTATTAGAGTATGTGTTTTTTGTTTGTATTATGACCACAAGTATTGTGGTTAATGCAGACATGATTCCTTGTAAAAGGTTTCAGTTTGGTATTTTAACATCTTAACACCTGTTTTGTTGCCACAAAAAAGGGGACCGGCTACTGTTGTTCATCCTGAAGAATCTACTTTCTATGTTCTACATCTGACAGAGTCACCAACACATGGACCTGGAGCCAAGCTGTGGTCTGGTCCGTTGTAGCTAGTTACGGTGTAATTAGTGCAGTTAGCCTGGTGGTTCACCACCACAGGTTGTTATCTCGTTAAAGGGCAGTTACCCCGTGTGTTGGGATTAATAAACGTGTTGCATCCAAGAAGTGCGTCTGTGACTCAGTTGAACTGTGTCGTTAAAACCCGCCACCATCCGACACAGCCAACTAATAAGGGTTTTCACGTAAACAGAACATGCCAATTCATCACGAGTACAGCACACCGGTGTGTTAAAGAGCCAAGCCACAACATTTACAATCTGAGTACGACGTTTCGACAGTAATTACAACTAGCTTCATCAGGCCAGTCTATGCTTGTTCACCATCATTGTCAACACGTTGCATGGAATCCTCTCCGGGAGGTATATTTATTGTGGTATTGTTGCAAATTATCAGAAGTATAACGAAAAAAATGTGAAGCACCCTGTATATAAGTCCGAAGTATGGTTGTTTTTTAGTTATTACATAGGTCCCAGTGTAACGTTATTGATCTGGTATCTTCCGACTCGCTAACTGCAGCATCGTGCTCACTGAGGCGTTCCCGATTGGAAGGTTATGTTCAAATATATACATACAGTGTAACATTTGTTTAACCAGAGCAGACATCAAGAGACCAGGATACTGGAGTCCCAGTTGCAAGAGTGATTTGGGTCACTAAAAATGGCAAATGGAGAATAAATCACAGTATCGACGCCAGAGAAATTGGAGCCTAAAACAGCGGAGTCTTGTCACATGGGAAATTGCACAACCATAAATCTACGTTAAATAATGCATTTGCAGCAGCGGAAGTCAGCTTAGCCAGATGATTGTTGGAATATATCGGAGTACACTTGGCATTAAGTTATGGAAACATGAATACAGATCGATAGGGAGAGTGACTATTGTAGCGTTAAGAGATGAAGATGTTTGTCAAATGCAATTGCAGCCTAGCATCAAATTGTGATGCCATCTTTTTGTGCCAAATTGTAGAATTTCACTCAGGAGCGAAAAAAATTACGATAAATATATTCCATTAATTTACCCCTCACATTTGTTTTTCCGTTGCAAATTCATGTATGTTTTAAATAAACCTCACTTTTTAAAATATATTACGTTTTAGATCAATGGGGGGGGGGTCACAAGACATCTGGACCACTCCCTGTATACCCTGTATAATATCGTCAACTTACAGTAGTAATATATGTGTAATGACAGTAGAACCTACATGCGCTGTGAGTGGACTAGTGGCCACCGGAGGCAATGACAGGGGACTCAGCCTCCAGTGCGAATGCACTAGTGGCCACGGGAGGTAATGACAGGGGAGTCAGTTGTGAGTGTGAAGGGACTGGTGGCTATAACGGGAATGATCGAGAAGGGAGTGTGGTCAGGTGACGGAAGAGGACGGTGGAGTCTGCCGATGGAGCGAGCGTCCAAAGTCAACGAGAATGATCGAGAAGAGGGGCGTGGCTTCGGTCCGTATATAAGGGGGAGATGCGCAGGAGACTCGGGGCTGTTGCAGTGGGGTCTCGGCCTGATGTCAAGTGAACGTGTCTTCAATAAAGTGCCATCTCAAGAGAAGTGTGTCAAGTCGTCATTACATACGGAACACCTGAAGACGGAAGCTTGTGTTGCCTCCGAAACGTCGTGATTTTTATTTTATTTTACTTTTATTAATTTTAATGTTTTACCTACGTGACTTTACCGAAAAAACCTAAAAATAGGAACAGGGAGAGGCCACTGGGGTTTCCACAGTAACCGTTTGGCGCCCAAAACAGCCAAAGGCAGTGCTATGTCCAGCAATGTACGTATTGTCACTCTCATCGTTCTATACACGCCAATGAAAGCTCTTCACGAGAGATCACTCTTGAACACCTGTGCTGCCAACTTGTCGCTGCTGCCAAATGTCCTTCCAGTGTGTAAGCAGTGTCAATGCACGCAGAGTCTTAGCAGTGGCTGAGCCGCAGTGGTATGTTGGTGGCCCCAATTTGATGTTACAGAAACAAAACTAATGTGAAGATGTATAGACCCATTGGCCTCTTGTTGCAGATACCTAAACTGCTCACCAAGGTGAACAGAGTAATGGAGATTAGTTTTATGGATTGAAAACGCATTTTGTGTTTAGTTTGTTGTCCTTCGCCCGCACCTCCGATTAGCACGGTTGGCTACGTACGGCGAGAAAGAAGTCGAATATACATACATACATGCATACAATGCAGAGACCAACCACAAGAGCAGGTTGATCTAATATATATATTTGTTTACCATTACGATCTACGTGTCCCACAGATGAAAAACAGAATCGGCTTGCAAACACATCACTGCTCGTCAGAAGGTTACCAGCAGATTGTATTTCATAACCTTTTTTTAACCCCTGATATAGTCCCAAAAAAATACAAAAGAGGATCGATAAATTATCATCAGCAGCTGGAGAATAGCAGAAGCCAATTACTGATTCTGCAGTAACTCGCTCCACAGCCGGCAATTAGAACTCACATGGACAGAGTTATGAATATGTAAAGTAGGAGCCGACACCAGATTGCAGGGGTCTCGTCCTTTATTCCTTTCCTTCCATCCACACCTGTCCCCAGCCGTCCCAATCTCGTTCCCGCCAAAGGCCCCTTCTTCCCGCCCGTTCTCTCCTTATATCTCTTCGATCACCCCTCCCACTAACCCATCTATTGGTGGGAATCCTTCCCCTGACACCCCTACAAATACATGGGGGACTTTAACTACATTATGTACACACAGTCTGAGAGTTTCACTTCACTCATTCAATCTGGGTGATGCGATGCTATTCCTATGACATCTCAGCGAAACAGACTCAACGTATAATCTCTATATGTGTGTTTTAAGTTTGGCTGGCTGGTTAGGTGGCTGAAGGGACGAACGAATGGACGGTCACGACCAAAGGATATGCGCATTGCTAGTAACATTGAAATAACACGTGTGGCCTCTATGTAACACCCAACCCATTTTCATCCCATGCTGTCATCGTCAAACTGCCTACCGTGTACGACATATCCTGAAGCTGCAGCACGCGTGCCTCCATCGCTGTGAAGTCAGACGCTAAGCTCATTTTTCGGCCATCATGGTACTGAAAAAAATCGAATCTGTGATCTTTAATAATTATTAAGGATCACAGATTCAAACCATCACCCAAGCCACGAACAAACAGCACTTCCAAAGGCAGAACTAGAATTGATGAATGTTATAGAGTGGAATTAATGTTTGTAGAAGTATCAGATGTCATAACAAGTTGCAGTATAGCACCGCACAATCCGAACACAGTGGTAACTTCAGAATCAGAATCTGTATTCATGCCGGAGGAATCCGATGAGCTATGAAGCTCTTCTTCGCAGATGCCCAGCAGGGGCGGGTAAGAAAGTTAGAACAGCAAGCAACACAAAGACGCGATTGTAACGTCGGCGCAAAATGCCCATTTACCTGCAGGAGTTACCGTCGTAGGCCAACGTCCTCGCTGTGCGCGCTCGAGCTATGAAAGTGAAAGAAGCCGGGGGGGGCAGAGGCGACGAGGAAGAGAAGCAGCAGCATGAGCAGCATGAGCAGGGCAGCGGCCAGTGGGAGGGAGCACGGCCAGGAGGCGATCACGTAAAGGTGGCGTGGGCGTTGGCAGACCACAAACAAGGTGGAACGCGCGCGATCAGCACATATCTCTCACCTACCGTGTGCGTGTCTCCTAGGGGCCGTCCATAAATGACGTCACGCACCTGGGGGGGTCAGACATTTGTGACGATGGGGGGGGGGGGGGGGTTGAGAAATGTGACGTCACATCAAAATGCGCAACTTCAAATAAATATAGACAACACGTTCTACTTAATTAAATAGACGTTTTAATAAATGTTTTCTCCTACAACACAGAGTGCAGCGCCACATTAAATACGCACTACAATGACAATAGTTTAAAGTTATTTGAAGCATGTCCTATTTTTTTGCGGGGGGGAGAGTTTTGTGACGTCATATTGAGGGGGGTCTGACTTTTTGTGACGCCGCGTGACGACGGGGGGGGGGGGGGGTCAAAAATCGTCCAAAATCGCGTGACGTCATTTATGGACGGCCCTCTACGTACCTCGTCACCTCACGACACCGCGTTGTAACGTCCACTTTTGAAGTTGATGTCGTTTTGATGCGGACTTTTACCAACGAGTTTTGCGAAGCATGGTTCGGGTCTACATTGAAAAAAAACACACACACACCTTGAGGCGTGTCTAGTACTCTGCCGGTATTATACGTTCTACTCGTATCATGTTTTCAATTTAAAAAAAATTACACACAAAATTAAAATGAATCTATATCATGAGGCCTCCTTTGCCGGTACTAAAATATAATAATAGGGGTTTTTATCCCTTTTTTCTGGCGACAAAACTGAAACCTTTTGCAAGGAATAATGTTTACATTAACCACAATACTTTCAGTCAAACTGCAAACATGAAACAACACTATGATTACACTGGTCAACAATAAAAAAAAACATTTTTTTCTGGCCTGGACTTTTGCAGCTGTTTTAGACTAATTTCAGGGTGCTGATTCCAAATCTGATCTCAGATTTGATCTATCACATCTCATTTTTATGCTATCGGCATACCCCATTTTCATTGATTTTACCCGAAATTAACTCTGTCACTTATGATTGCAAGTTGTTGCGAGTCAGTGACTGCTTTAGTGTTAATATATGGTGCTGTATTTTTAGGATAGTGTGTTTATAATATAATTTTATGTAGATATCCACATTTATTTAATATTTTTCTTTTGCAGTTTTTATTGAAAATGCAATATTGGATATCTCAAAAACCTGATGTGATAGACAAAAACTGATGCCAGATTTGGAATCAGCACCCCAAAATTACCTTACAATCGTTGGAATACCTCATGCCAGAAAAAGTGTGTTGACCAGTGTTATTTATTGTCTTTGAACTGTGCGCCTTTTGGCGTCATCTGGTCGAACACTGTATGAGACTAGGCTCAAGGAAAGCTGTCTCTGGTGTGGACCAATCAGTTTCAAGGACAATGCATAAATTATCAGTGTGTTTTTTGTTTGCATTTTGACTGCAAGTATTGTGGTTAATGTAAACATGATTCCTTGCAAAAGGTTTCAGTTTTGTCGCCAGAAAAAAAGAGGGAAAACCCTGTTACAGTATTATAAATTAATCCGCCTATTGCACATTCACTATTACACATCCCTAGGTCACTGCACCCGAAGTGTACAGTCATTATTTGAAAATTGTTTTCAATATATGAGCTTGATCTTGAGTAGGTTAAGGTAGCAGTGGGACCGTGAGAGAGTTGCAAGAAAGCAGCAGCCCCGTCAGCTCCCATCGGGGAGCGGAGCTGAGAAACGTACTAATCAGTGGCGTGTAGTCAGTGGCGTGTAGTCAGTGGTGTGTAGTCAGTGGTATGTAGTCAGTGTTGCACCGGCTGTTGACCGTCCAGCGCGTTAGAATCACATTTAGTAGTTTCACATAAAGCGTCATTGTTCCTGCAAATTGCACCTCTCATAATCGCAGAGGAACCACTCACGAGCTGGAAGGCAGTGGTCAATTGGTGAGCCGACCCCCACAATTACTCAAGCCCTATATATTAAAATGTTTTCAGGCAATTAATAATTGTTTAACATGTTGAAGGAAACCGGAGCACCCAGAGAAAACCACTGCGTGACGAGGACACACTATATCCCGTATATAGGGACAGGTTATATTAGAATGCACGTTGGTGTATCATCTCCTGGCAAGCCAGGGTTACGACATCCTGACGACCGAAAAAATAACGTTTTGTGTGAGCCACCAATCCTCCACTGCTGCATCCACCGTGCTGGCTTGCAGGCCACGCATGTAGCCACCAACGCCTGCCTGGCTGTTCTTGATTCGTTCATTGGCATCGTTTTTCCAATTCAACCTTGTACCGACTGCCCGTCGTATATAGCCAAGCTCCTTTGCAACCCAAGTTATTTTCGGCTAGGCAAACCCGCAACACACGCACTGTCCCAACTTTACTGCACCATTATCTACCAAATGCATTAATCGCCCCAACTTTTAAATAAACCGAGCTACTACTGTAAATACTTTTACCCTCGTTTTGAAGCGTTGCGCGGTGGACTTTGACCTCCGGTTAAGATCCTTTAGTGCTCAGATTGGACATTTGAGCTGCTGCAGTTCTGTACCTAGCAACGGCTTAAGGACATGCACCCCTTGATACGTGAAAAAATAGCAAGCTTGAAAAATAAAGCCGAGTCGATTTTACGCACTTCTTGTAAGGGACGTACAGAAAGGATCAAGGGCTCTACAAAGTTATAACGCGGTGCTATCACCGACATGCGAGCATACACCTTTACACACGGCGTGTGCCCAATATGCCAGCCACTTTGCCTACTACATCGTGGTGTTTGTTGGGAGCCACTGCGGTAGTGGTGGCTGCGCTGTGCAAGTGGCTGCCTATTTTCAGGCACAGTGGAGGCAGCAGCAAGGGTCTGTGGGTCACACACACACAAGATGTTGCGAAACTCCCTGCTACCCGTGGGCATTGAGGCGGTGCTATACCCTGGTGCGCCAGGAGGAGGCGATACGGCAAGAGGATTAATCTCCATCTGTCCCATCGGTACGGGGTAGCGTTGCACCCCCGCCCTAGCCCACCCCCTCTGTGGGTGCTCTGGTTTCCTCTCGTATGGACGAACCCATCATTAATTGCCTGAAAACATCTTCATCTATCTGCGCCACCGTGTTTTGTGGACCGCGCAGCGTTGTGGTACATGTGTGTAGTCGTATAAATGACCTATATAAAACACTCAATGTTGTTATTATTTATTGCATTGTTTGTTGGAGGGTGGGGCAGCGGTTATACAATGGTTAGTGCACTGTGCTCTAAACCCAATGAACAGAGTTCAACTGTTGGCCACGGCTTACACCAGTCTTATCTAATTGATAAACTTGGATGTGATCATTGTTCAACTAGCCAGTGAGCCGAAACAAGAATAAGTTGTGCGTTAAAGGCTCGCACGTGTAACAATTTAATTTGTTTGGCTCTGTTTTGGGTGGTGGAAGTCTTAGCGATATAAATGTGACCACATTGTTACAGAGCCTAAGTTCAGAGCTCAGTTGCGAGTCAGTGATGTGGTGTCGGTCTTCGTCAAGGGGGAACGGGGGGGGGGAACTATTCACTTTGTTCTGGCAGTGCTTCAGAGGAGCATTTCCACAAAATAGCACGCAATTGGTATTTAACTAGAGCCAACCCGTGATACACTGGCCTCAAAGGTCATCTCAGTCTGGTTTGGGGCCAAACAGTGCCGGGGGCGGAGCTAAAGACACCTTCATTGTGTGACGTCAGTAAGTACACCGTGAGGACATCGCTGCGTCATCGGCATGTGCCTCGACTCGCTCACTGGGCACGCGACGTCGGTCGTGTGGCACGGCTCGGCTTCTGGCTCGGCACAAACCCCAGCACGGCTCGGATTGTACAGTGGAAAAAAAAGAGTTGTAATTCCATTGTGTGGTTTTGCTGGAAAATATCGGTAAATACTCTTTGGTTCTTTCGGTAAAGTAACGTGGGTATAAAATAAAATAAATTAAATCACGACGTTTCGGGCGCAACACAAGCGTCCGTCATCAGGTGGGACAACCACAGCAAGAAACAATTGCTGAAGTGGGCAAAACAGTCTGGATCCCTGCAGTCACGAAAACTTCAAATCGAGATTTAATATCGGTAAAGATCCGCGTAACGTCAATAGGTCTCCCTCGCAAGGGAGTTGTTCCAGTCACGCACCTAGGGGGGGAAGGGGGTCAGACATTTGTTACGATGTGTGACGAGGGAGGGGGGGGTTAGAAATGTGACGTCACATCAAAATGCGCAACTTTAAATAAATATAGACAACACGTTCTACTTAATTAAATATACTTTTTAATAAATGTTTTCTCCTACAACATCAGAGTGCAGCGCCACATTAAATACGCACTACAATGACAATAGTTTAAAGCGATTTAAAGCATGTTTTATTTTGGGGGGGGGGGGGCAGAGCTTTGTGACGTCATATTTGAGGGGGGTCTGATTTTTGTGACGCCGTGTGACGAAGGGGGGGGGTCAAAAAATCGTTCAAAATAGCGTGACGTAATTTATGGACGGCCCCTTACTTAAGAATCTTCTTGTCAAAAAACCAATGCTCATTCTTCGACAATCATACACACACGGCGCAATAATGCATCTTCGTCAATCCACTGCTGGATGAGGGATTCTCAACGCCATGGGGGTTGTTCGACTACAAGTTACCACGTGGGTCAGTGAAGGCTGGGAGCCCGTACATGGAATAGAACCACAGAACAGTAGTGGATGTGCTGCCCTCTGCGGGTCACCGTGTAGGCCCGCAGCCCGCGGGGTCACGGCGGTCACCCGCTCAACACTCGTGCTGTGGGGGGGGGGGCGGTTGTACAATACTTTTTGTAAAAAATCTTCTCATGGGTTCGTGTTTTAGGGAAGCCTTCGTGTAGTTTGGCAGCTGTCACTGAAATGTCAGCAATGAAGACGTTGACAATGTATGTACTGTATTTTGAACGTCTTTTGCACCACTCGTAGCGAACCGTGATAGTCGGAGGCGCGGCAAGATAAAAGAGTCGTTAGGGGGAAATGTTAACAACCAAATTACGACGTTACGATCTCAATTTCGTTGTTTTCCAGCACTAGTACTCATGCATGAAGGAAGTGTAAATTTACAGATAAGAACACGTATTTCTTTTTTCTAGATTTGAAGTTTTCGTGACTGCAAGGATTCATACTCTTTGGTTTTTTTCGGTAAAGTCACGTAGATAAAAAGCGGTTGTGCTTTCGCTACGTTGTCCCCACCTGAAGAAGGACGCTTGTGTTGCGCCCGAAACGTCGTGATTTAATTTAGTTGTTTTCACTTATTTTAACTTTTTTACCTACGTGACTTTACCGAAAAAAAACAAAGAGTATTTTGCTATCATGAGTTTTCTGTTAATCAGCATGATACAAAAATGGGTTGATTAAATGCAATGTATTTGGATATGTTTAGTAGCTTGCACAGTTTTCAGAATGGAGTCGTTTCTCTTTAAGAGCAACTCCGATGGTCGTGTGCCGCGATTTGCGCATTGTTTTCATGGTCGAGTCTTGATTGGATGGAGTCGGTGACGTGTTGCATATTTCAATCGAAAACGAACATTGCTGCTTCCTCAATTCAATCATTTGATACATAGATATTGTTGTATCCACGGTGCCAATGGGACATACAATTTAGAATGGGAAAGGGGCATGTGAAACTGACTTAATTACTACTGGGGGCCACAACATCTGCAACGTGTACTTCCATGAACAAAATGTCCATTTTATAGTGACCAAACAGATTTTTTACTTTTATCTCAGTATGTATGTTGAACTTTTTTCACACCGTACGTAGCCAACCGTGCTAATCTGAGGTGCTAATCATGGCTCTGTAATTACAACCAGATATTTAGCAAAGTTACATTGCCATGATCAGTACATAGGCTAGCTCTTTAGACGCCTGACATTGTAAATGTTAAGTCCCGGAATGTCAAATCCTGGACAGAGTGCACCTGAGTCTGGGTGATGGAAGTTCACAATCTGTTGGTCCTGTTGCTCCAGTGGGATCGGGTGGCCCTGGCTCAAGTGCTGCTCCACAGAGCAGGGAAATGGGCTCAAAAACTCGGCCAGGAAAACGTGTAGGCCAAGGTAGCTCAGGTGAAAAGTGCAGAATTTTTCCAGAAGCTTCACTTCAATGCTAGGACCAAACAATCGCAAAAACAATGTTTTTTGGGGCCTTTTGGCTGCCGCTCTGACTGTAGCAGGCTCTCCGGGTTATCTGCTGTTGGCAGTTCACTGATATTTTGCTTCTGCTGTCCCTGACTTCCCTTATCCCTTTGTCTTCGCGTCAGAAACTTACTCGGCGTTTCTTCAAGCGGTGTTGTCGCGTCTGCGTCTGCTCCTTGAAACTCCGGCGGCCGTTTTCCATCATGTCCTGCTCCGGTTTCGTGGTGATGTGGTAGAAGGTCACGTTGGAGTAGGCGTAGTAGCTGAGGTAGCGCAGGAGCCGGCCAGGCAGTCCTGGGGACCTCACGCAGCACGTGGTCGAAGGTCGGCAGCAGCTGGGCATACACAGCCGCTGTGAGGTCTGCCTGAGAGGGTCAGACAGCCCCGACCACGCAAGATGACCAATAACGCGCGGGTTGAACAACAAGGTTACGCAGTAATGAGGAAAATTGTCTCAAAGCCGCCCGTATTTTGTTAATGCACAAAAGGTTATTTGTGTCTTTGATTATTATGTGTCATTGATTACGATATCGTTATCATTGATCATTTGATCCGTTATTTTCCACACCAATTGTAATTAAAGAGGGCATATTACAATTTAATTTTAAGAATATGCTCAGCATTTTCTCTGGTAACCGCCCATCATTGTGTATTCTATACACATCTTAATGCTTAATAAGAAATAATGTTTGATAATTATTAATCGAGGCATCAACATTAACAGTTGCAGTTGGAGCAAATGAGTGCCGATAGGTGCAAGCGAATGAACACTCCCATTAGCTACGCAATTCCGAACATAAACAAGCCAATGCCCAACCCCACAAGAAGCAGGGGAAATTCATAATCACTACAAAATATATACATAACACACATAGAATATATACATAACACACACACAGAATACATTATATTGTTGGCCTGTCTTTCGTCATTGTTTTGTTAAATAATTGAAACGTTCTGCGGTTCCATTCCTGAACTCTACCCCTGGGATTCGCCCTTCCACCGAGTACATCAAACATCAATTGCGGTCGATCATCGGTTATCCATATGGCGTGCAGCGTTTCAATGAGGGCAATTTGTTTGTGTTTCTCCCTTGCGATGGGACTTTGTAGGATGAACGCTGAGATTTATATGGGCACGGGGTGACCACTAAGGTCTGAATTGGTCTGTAATAAGGTAGGCACTGGGCTGATCCATGCAGGAATTTTCCTCCAAGACAAAGAGTGTGATAACGAAATGGCGTTATACAGTAAGAGGCACCGCTGTAAGAGGTTTGCCTGTACTGTACTTTGTCTTTGGTCAGTTATTTGGCCTCCTTTTAAAACTGATGGCTGAAGGCAGGAAACCCCCCTGCAAGTTAAGCACAGCGTGATGCAATGATGCGGATGATGTCACCAAGCCCCGCCCATCACCACCCATCCAGCGGCACACGTGGGCACAGCAGTGAGACTTGTTTACCCCATCTGTGTTTCTGTGTTATCTGACGAGTCAAGTAATCGAACCCAATAATTGGTAGAGTCATCAATCACTTGAATAGCCAGAGAGCCCAGCTCTGATTCATTTTTGTAAAGACGACCTGACAATGAAGGGTGTAAGGTGGCCATAACCCTAGCGCTGCGGCATCATCGCGTTACAGCTTGGGAGCTGAAGAGGTCTGGCCTGGGTCCCACTTGGATTAGTTCCTACCAAGGGCAGCTTTATGGTGTTATGGATATTCGATGAGTCAGATCAGGTGCTGCCATGCAAAATTCTGCTTGTGTCACAAGCTGGCCCCAGTGCAATCCCACTGCATGGTATTGCAGTGGAAGTCTGAATAGAGTATTACATTATCGATCAATCAATCAAGTCATAAATCAATCTTTATTTTAGGTGACAATATCTCCCTTAATAAAGTAGTACATCAGTGCACATTACAACAGAACAGGCACAGCACACGGAGCACGGAAAGCAGAAACCTGTCACGACCTCAGCGGCTAAAACTGGTGATTTGAACCTCCTTGCCAAGTAGAGAATGTGAATGCTTTATCCTAGCACTCCTGGGTACAATTCAAACGCACAAAATAACTGGTTGGCTGATGGCCATCCACATGACCGCATTACGAATGAACGACTATATGGCTCTTATTCAGAAGTGGCCTGCCTATCACAAATCATAGCTCAACGAAGTGGCTTATGACATGGACATTTATAGCAGCTAAATACAATAAAAACTCATGTTGATTCAAAATGTGGAGGGAAAAACCGGAGGACCCACAGAAAAATCCACGTAACCATGGAGAGAGAGACATGCAAACTCCAAATATCAAATATACAGACGTCAGGTCGGGATCGAACCCACGACCTTCTGTCTACCAGGTGAGGTAGTTCATATCTCGCGACTGTGGCACCCCTCAGTGAAGAGGGTTTCTGATCATCACATCCTAAAATAGTATGACAACACATGAACGTGCCTCTATACTCCATTGAGCAATGGGTAGTGCGAATTTCTGTTCGTAGCCCTGTCGTGGGAATTCTACATTTCTTTACGACATAGACGATGCTCTTCATATGACAGCCACTGTTGACTTATAACAGTGGTCGAGCCCCACACTGAGGTTCTAAATCGGCAAAGTAATAACAAGTTCAGTGGCGCGTCACAGGGACACCCCGCTGAAGTGCTTCGTGGGAATAATAAAAACAAATGTCAACTCTGTGCTATTACAGCTTCGACGTGATTCCGACCCACAACACAGTCCCTGCTGCCTCTCGCCTGCGATCAGCAACACGAATACCAGCTCCAGTTGCGGCACGATTGAGAAGGTGGCAGCATAGCCATCGATATCGCCGTCCTTCCTGAGGATCGTGTATCCCAGCTGGCGCCCAAGGAGCCGTCCATAAATGACGTCACGCACCTGGGGGGGGGGGGGGGTCAGACATTTGTGACGATGTGTGACGAAGGGGGGGGGGGAGTTTGAGATATGTGACGTCAGATCAAAATGCGCAACTTAAAATAAATATAGACAACACGTTTTACTTAATTAAATATACTTTTTAATAAATGTTTTCTCCTACAACATCAGAGTGCAGCGCCACATTAAATACGCACTGCAATGGCAATAGTTTAAAGCGATTTGAAGCATGTTTTATTTTGGGGGATGGTGGCAGAGCTTTCTGAGGGGCGGTCTGACTTGTTGTGACGCCGTGTGACGATGGGGGGGGGGGGGGGGGGTCAAAAATCGTCGTGACGTCATAATGGACGGCCCCCATCTCCCAGGGAAGGCCAGCCTTCGCCGCAAAGAAGTCCGCTTGGCACGCCTGCACTGGGGTCCACAACATCTGCCGAAACAGCAGAGTCTGTCTGGAATTAAACAAAGATTTCAATAATTCAACGTTTTCCTTCACAGTTATTGCACACTTAAAACGTAGAGGTCATAAATACACGTTTGCTGCAGCAATTGTCTCCTTCTGTGGGCTTTCCTTGAAATCAGTGTATGCATGTGTGGCTCGTGTTAGTGGCAGATCACATTAAAGCTCAGGAATTCAAGACCTTCCAGCTCAATAATCTGATGTCTGCACGGAATTTGCCACTGTGAGTGCTGTATTACACGGGTCACTGAAGACTCAAGCCACCATGCGCCGAGACTGCTCTATCCGTAGTGTTCGTCACCCAAGGTGTTCTCTGGTTGTTGCCGCTTGATGTATAGGGAACAGCACCAGCGCTGATTGTTTTTCACTTTGACGGACAGTGCGAGCCCTGGTGTACGTGAACAACTGTGTGTTAATCTTACTGATATACAGAGTCGGCATACAAGTCAGGACGCATAGGATTATTTCAATTATTTTAACACTTGCATTAAACCATTGTAATTGTTTATTTTTTTTCAGTTTAGATTTGATCTATTATCATTATTAATAGATATTTTTCTTCTTCCTGTGGGGTCATCCGAAGTCCACCATTTAAAACATTCGACCAAGAACCGCGAATGAATTGAGACAAAACACAATTGATGAATGTTTAAATATTACAGCTGTAATATTTAAAAAAAAGTCCTAAATAGATTTCAAAATAATGTATGCATGCATTTATGTTCATATAAGTCAGTTTGAACTTTTGTTTAAAAAATACGCTACGTTATTTGTTAAAATAAATATAATAACCCTACATGTTTTTACTTTTGGACTGCCCTGTACATAATACAAAAATAATAAACATGCGTATGTATTAAAGTGAAGCTCTGTGATCTCAGGCAAATCGTTAGGATAACTTCCTGATCCTTCAGAAGCAGAGTCAGCCACACACTCGCCCCTCCCGACGCGTTAGTGCCTACTGGCTCTCCATCATCCCTGCCGCCTCGATCGATGGGAGAGAGAGGCAATGGCTATTTATTATATACTCCAAGTGGCTTATGCGGGGTACAGAGACCCAGCGACAGTGAATCAACCGCATGGCACGTGCAGTTTGAACAAACCGGTTGTGAGAAAGGTCAAGGAGTGAAATCCGATCAGCAAAAACACGATCGTGACTGAAGCACTTCCCTTCAGCGTCTCCACAATGGTGACCTGCCTCTGCCGCGCTTGTCCGAACTTGCCACAAAGGTGCGGTTACATTCCCTCTTTTTATGTCGGCGGACACATTTTATTTTTTTGGTGCAACGGGAAATTTGGTTTAAAAAAACTAAAACCCCGACGATGGCGCCAACTATGCCAACCTTGACGGTGTCCCTCGTGAGGACCGGGTTTTGGGACGTGCCCAGCAACGGGGTGCTGAGCTTGGCCAAGTCGGCGACGCTCGAGAGCATCTGTCCGGCGGGACGGTACCAGCCCAGGCTGCAGAGCGGAGGGACCCTCCCGTCCGCGTAGCGCCCCTCCGCTCAGGACGCCCGCCCGCGTCCACGTGGGCGAGCGGGGAAAAGTTGGCGTCTCTCATCCCCATCGGGAGCAGCACATTCTGCTCCGGCCACGCCTCGTACTTGCTTCCCGCAACCCGCTCAGCGAGCACGCGCGCCAGCAGGGATGTGGCCGCGATGCTGGAGTGGCAGCTGGAAGAGGCACAGAGGCGCGCTGGTGATGGTCATTCCGGGGCCGACCGCGGGTTAACATCTGATCGTTTGTTGTTTGGGTTGCCAGAGCCCAGCAGGTGGATGAACAACTGCAGCAGGCTAGTCCGCAGCTCAGACAGAACCCCCCACAGCTACTGTTCCTCATAAACATGCAGTCATTTTTTAACGGGATGTAATGAATGCACGACTGCTATTCTGTATTTCCACATGGACATTACTGTATAATCCAGCCTCGAGTGCAGATATAATATGCCTTGCAATGCCTGACCACTGCTGGGAAAGTGGAAATATTAGTAGATAACACTCGTTGCATACTGTTCCAGCATTTCTATAGATAAAAAAGCTTTCATGCAATACCGGATAAAAGTCCCAGAGAGATTGTACTCCTGAAGGGGGAAATTAATTGCAACATGTTGCAATAAAAAAAAACGTGTTCCATGTCCAACGATATTTACGGATCGTTTGGATAACAAGAAAATTATGTGCAGCTGTCTTAACCAATCTGTTATTAGCATTTGATGAGGTCAAGATTATCGCAATTTCTACATTATCAGCTTGTGGCTACAGAAGTAAAGCAGTGGGCTGGTTCTCCAAAATACCCAGGGAGAAGAAAGCAATGGACTAAACCTGGCAGAAATTCTTCACATTTCTCATCACTATCTATCTAAGGCTGTTGCCTGAGGCTAAAAATAAATAAATTATCACATGTATTTTTGTTGTAAAAGCTCGCCCCCACTGAATAGGGCATCGCAATACTTTACAGTAGAAATTAAACGGACGTAGTCCTACCTACAAAATCAAGACACACGTAAAAAATATTAAAATGAGAGGACAATGTTCTTCTTGGTTCTTTCGGTAAAGTCACGTAGAATGGAAATAATAAAATAATAAAAAGAAAACATAATAAAATAATTCTCACGACGTTTCGGCCACAACGCAAGCAGCCGTCCTCAGGTGAAGAACAGGTCTGTCGAGAAGACAGAGTCTGAATGACAAACTCCAGGCTTGGAGCGACTATTTAAGCTGGGATGGAGGGGGGAAGGGTGCCTTGACAAAATAATTTGCATATCAAGAGGAATTTAGCATATTTATGGGAAATGCAGATATGCGATTAGTACTATTTGTGAAATGCGTAGGAGGTTTGGCGGGGGGTTTAAAGTCATTATGCCCCTGCATTATGCAGGATTAGCAGTATCAAAGGGAGGGGATAGGAGTAACATTAATAAAGGGAAGGAATGTTAATAGTATGTAGCTGCAGTAACTAAAACACCACGTAAACAACTAAAGTATAAACTACATAGTATCATCGGTATACTAAATATACTCTCCAATAAGCTGAGCTACTAACAGTAAGTAATACATTACAATTCTATGTGGCAAAAAATATAATATGCTTCCAGCTAAACTTTATTCTCTTACATCACACGAGTCTACACCGTACTATATACTCACCTGAGGACGGCTGCTTGCGTTGTGGCCGAAACGTCGTGAGAATTATTTTATTATGTTTTATTTTTATTATTTTATTATTTCCATTCTATGTGACTTTACCGAAAGAACCAAGAATATGAATCCCTGCAGTCACGAAAGCTTTAAATCGAGAGGACAATGCTCAAGAAAAAGCTCAAAATAAAAAAATAGTCTTGCAGAGTTTCTTGAACTGTTCGGGGCTCGGAGACAATCTGAGTTCCCACATCTTCGGCACCATCTCGAGAAGGCCCCACTACTGCCGCCAGTGTAGAATCACAAATTGTAGGTTGTGCTAACAGGGCGTGGCCTGAGGAGCGCAGGGTATGGGGGCCACACGGACTGCAGGTAAATATATATAGCGTTAAGGGGCCGTCCATAAATGACGTCACGCGATTTTGGACGATTTTTGACCCCCCCCCCCCCTCTTCACACGACGTCACAAAAAGTCAGACATCCCCTCAAATATGATGTGACAAAGCTCCCCCCCCCCAAAAAAAAATCAAACATGCTTTAAATCGCTTTCATATATTGATATTGTCGTGCGTATTTAATGTGGCGCTGCACTCTGATGTTGTAGGAGAAAACGTTTATTAAAAAGTCTATTTAATTCAGTAGAACGTGTTGTCTATGTTAATTTAAAGTTGCGCATTTTGATGTGACGTCACATTTCTCACCCCCCCCCCCCTCGTCACACTCGTCACAAATGTCTGACCCCCCCCCCCCCAGGTGCGTGACGTCATTTATTACCGGCCCCTAAGTAATCCAGCTACAAATCCAAGATAACTCCTCACAGTCGTAATTCACACTGCATCGTCATAACGTGGTACTCTGAATAATAGTAATCAATTTACAGCTGTGGCTGTTTCCCCACTCAATGGCATATTTGCTGTACTCTAACACCGGCACTTTGCTATGTTGAAGCAGTGTTCATGATAGATTGGGTAGTCTGTTGATGTGTGATTGTACACTGCTGCCAAAGCACAGTCCCTTGAAGTGTTTAACAGTGTTAATATTGAGTCAGAGTTCACACAAAGTTGTATCTACGATCAATATCAGCCTCGGGTGTCGTTTGATCGTTGTTGTTTATTGTTGTCACCAAAGACGATGTCTTCCAAGTGATGGCGTCGTCGTACCGCGTGCCGGGCAGCGACCACGAGCACGTGCTCCTAGAGCAGCGCCTCCCACGTGATGCCCGTCCACAGCAGGGTCCCGTTACCACGCAGGTCCCGTGCCAGCGCCACCGCACACACGGCCACGCGAGTCATCTCACCTCGCACGCATCCTTTCAACAACGTTACAGCTACATCGTCACCCCCCACCCCCGCTGTGCCCTGGCTGCTGCTGCAGAATGCTCGACTTTACAATCGGCAAAGTTTGGGAGTTCGAATGCCAGTTGGGGGTTGAATCATCACCACAATCACCCCAAAAAAACACAGAGACAAAGATATTCCGTGTCGCCTTAACAGGTTGTTGGGGAAAAGTGCTGTTAAGCGAGCACCTATGAAGGCCGGTACGGCACACGAGAGGGTCGGTGGCCAGCACCACGCCCGGCCACTTTGTATCCCCAGTGGTTGTTTATACATCGCACCAGGTACTCATTTGAGGCTGAGTCTACCTAGGAGAAGCTCAGGACCAGTTCAGATATTTGTCACTGGTATTAGCTGTGATAGGGAATCGAACACATCGTCGTGTTTGTAGCGCAGCGCGCGAACTATTGCACGACCCAGGCCCCTCCTTCACACGCGCCCTTTCTACATCGTTACAGATACCGTAGCATCGTCGCCGGCTGGTGTGCTGCAGAATGCTCGACTCATGATCTGAACAGATTGCGAATCATCAACAAGAACAGACGCAATTCGCCCACTAAGCGGCGGTGACGTCACAACGGCGCTTGTGCCAGGCCAGGTGCATCCGAGGCCACGTGGAGTGTCGAAGGCTCACTTAGGAGGTCACGGAACAGATCCAGGTTCCAAGGGTAGACTGAGAGACTGGCATATGCACCACCTGTACCCCCTACTGTGTTAACTTGCTGTGTTTTTACCCGCTCGGCACTCCACTCATCATTTTGAGCATCGCTCCTCTTGCCCTCCGCTGTTGTTGGAGTGCAAATGCCTCTGACTGTCCAGTAGCGCCCTTCACGAACCTCCAAAGACAAAGATCCTCTGTATAGCCTTAAATCAACTGTTCGGGCAAGTGCTGTTAACGAACATCTAAGAAGCCGGCACAGAACACTAGGGGGTGGGTGGCCAGCAATGGCGATGTTTACACCACACCAGGTACGCAATTGAGGCTGAGCCGACCGAGGAAAGGCCCAAAACCTGATTCAGATAATCGTCATGTTATTGGTCGTGAGTGGGAATCGAACTCATCTACCCTACCACTCAAGAGCCTCCTGGCATCACCGCCATCACCACCACTATTAGATCACCACCATCATCATCATCGTTATCATAACCCCTCCAGGATGGATACATTGGCTCTACGCAAGACTGGCCAGCACCATAGAAATATGGAAATGGCACGATTGTTCCAAGACCAATAACTTGCATCCCACTGGGATTTTTGCACACAGCGTTGGTGTAC